CAAACTATAGGTTTTGCCTTTGGGAGAGATTATTGGTGAAAGTGGAGAGAAGATAGATGAAAAAATGAAAAATGATTAGAAGGAGAAGGTATGAAGTAAAAAAAAAGTGAGAGGAGAGAAATAATGTTGAAAAAGGAGAAAAAATATTGGTTGAGAGAAAAATCAACAATGGAAATAATATCCCTGGTGTGATAGAGAAAGTAAAGTAAAAAAATGATTCAAAAAGAGAATGGATGAAAAGATTGAGATGAAAACACTAAGGAAAAAGAGAAAATGTTTTGAGAAGAGGATGAACTCACAACTAAAGGGAGGTTTCTCACAGAAAAATCACTGAAATAAATGATCTTTGGTGAATAAAAATGGAAAAGAATAATTAAAAAAACATAAGAACAATATTGACCAAGAAAAAACTTACAAGGGAAGAAAAAGAGAGAAAGAGAGAAAAAAACTTACTTGAAAAGGGAAAACTCACGAGTGGAAGAGAATGTTGGCAGAACAAAGAATCAAGGATGAAATGGGGGATGGAAGAAAATGAAAACAATTACATGAAAGGTTAAAAAATAAGGAAATGGGACAATATTGAAATAAAAGAGAGGAAGAGGGTCAAGAGAAGAACACTAAAAAATCAAGAAAAATAGGGAGCTCCTCTCATCTATCATTTGGGACGAGAAAGTGGAAGGGATGACGATAAAGTAATGAATGCTCTCTAACTCAAAAATTAAAGATGTAAATGTTGAGAAAGATGTGGGGAACGATTTTATATGTATCACCTAGGAAAATATTAGGAGAGGAGAGAAACACCAAGAGAAAGATAGAGAGAGAGAGCTTGGGATAGAGAAGGGAAAAGAGGAGGGGGAAGAAGAAGAGGAGAGAAGAGAATTTACCCTATGAGAAGAGCTGCATGAAACATATGTATTCAAAATTAGTGGTTGCATAGAAGGACATGATGACTTAGGGGAAGCCCATGAGTGTGTAAAGATCAAAATATCCACATCTTATAACCATAATCTCATTTTTATATGGAGAATAGAAAAGTAAACAATTAATTCTCAAAATTAATTAGATAGAGAAATTTATTATTAAAAAATTAAACAGTTAATATTACTATAAAAGGTCTTATTTGGATGCTATCTCTTCATGGAATTATAATAACAATATACAACTATCTACAATATGTTATCACTGGAATACCACAAAGGTGTGGCAGGATAATGCTGCAATATGTCATCCATGCATACATGGCTAGTATGATAGTGGCACATTGGTGACATATACATGCCCATGTGTTGCTGGCATGGACCTGAAATATGTCAATGTAGACATGTTGATTGTGTTAGGCTAATGAGTTGGCCCAATTAATGCCACTAGCAATATTCTTCATGGGAACTTGTGCTATTAAGTTGTTAACTTGGGAGAATAGCTTAACTATTAAAATTAAGCGATAGCTATGGGATGTGTGTGAGCTTTTATGTTATTAAGACATCTTGTCATGGGGGATGTATGATGTTGATCTTAAATGAATAGTTTGAGGATTTATCATGAATTATTCAACTCCCCCTATAAATAGGACGGTTCTTCTACAACTATGGGTAGAGTATGTGGACCAGCTGCCAAGTGTGTGCATGTTAGTGACTTGCACCAGTTGCAGAGGTACGTATGTCCACTCTACTTGCTGGACATTTTTTATTTCGGTTTTGCCATTCAGTCCCCATGCATACAATTTTTTTAAGTGTGATAAGAACCTCTTTGTAATATACACACCATGAGTCTATATCATGCCACTAGATTTCAATATTATCTAAACTTTTATGCTATAAACTTTATGAGTCCAGTTTTCCCACTATATTTAAACTAGCAACCTAAGTAGCTAAACTTAGCAACCTTTAAACCTTATTTTAGACATAATAATGTGCATTAACATATTAAAGAAGACAATTAAAATAATACCTAGTGATATGGAGTAGTATTATTGATGCCTTTAAGATTCTGGGATGATTTTAGTTCCATTGAAGATGAGAGAGTTTCTTTGGACAAAGAGGCTAGGCCACATTGATCTTCAATTGTTTTTCTTGTGAGCAAATGGAGGAGGGGAAGGGGAAGTGGTCACATGTTGTTCATTCTCTAAATGATTTTTTTATGATATACTTTGCTAATCCTAATTTGAGCAAAAATGCCCTTAGCAAAAGTGCCCCTTTTATTCTCTATGAAGTGGGCTAGGTCAGTTGTGAAATAACTCTACAAAGATTGAGTTATGCTACATGGTGGGTGTTAAAGCTAGATTTGTGTTTTAATTAGTTTTAATATTTTATTTTATTTTATTAACCTATAGAATAGATATAAGATATATTATCAATTTTAAAAGTCTGAAGTTAAAATACTTAGCATAATTTTTTATTATTAAAATAAAAATAAAATAAAAAAATATTAAAAAGTTTTTCGTCTACTGGCAAGCTGACACTCGGTAGCTAACCTAGAGGGGCACTACAGCCAAGTAGGTAGACCCAGATTGGGGGAGCCACTAGTTGAGGTTGAGTGACAAAGGCCTCGCTCTGCACACATGTGCGTCACTCCCCTTCCACGTCCTAGTGGCTGACTAGTCGTTTTTTTGGCAAAGAGTGTCTATACACATGTGCATGTGTGAGGGCAGACCACCTTATTGCCTTCTCCTAAGATGGTCCTAGGGATTATTTTATTTCGGGAGAAAAGATGTTTGTTGATAGAGAGAAACTTTGATTTATGTTCAACTTAAATGATGACAAACTTTCAATGTGGGACTAACCTTTTTAATTTGTTTCAATGCAGCCCTTTGGAGCATGGTGTGATCCAGCGGTATTCAACGAGCCACATCATCAGATTAACCTAATCTTGTGGCTGGTGAACCACCACAATACCAAATGCATAAAGTGATCCATTAGTAATTCGTGAATTTGATGCCACTTAGCATGCACATGGTCTTAAAGGTTGATTTGACGGCTAAGGAGTTGCCATAGTACCAAGAACTTAAGTTCCTAGTTGGCAACGATTCATGGTGGGTTGATCTTGCATCACTTGGCACGTGACGTGACTCAGTCGTTGTATGTTAAATCACGCAAATTTAAAATTTATAAAACTAGAAAATACGAATTTTCGGATATTTAGAAGTATTTCTAAATAAATATATCAATTATAATTCAATAAAAATTCCAAAAATAGCGGTAATTTTCCAGGTCGATCACAGGGATGTAATATAATATCTGGTAATTATTCATAATTTTTCTCAATGAGTACGATTTTCTTACGAATTTTATACTATGAAATAAAAAGGAAATATATTTAAAATTCACAAAAAAAAGAGGAAATAAGGGTGCGGACGTCAGGATGACGTCAGCGCCCGGCGAACGCGAATCAGGCGGAAACAGAGTTCCGCCCGGCGATTCTTACGTAGGCGATTACAGACGACTCAATTAATCAAATTAAGATCTGTAAAAGCCGGAAGAATCGTAATTGAACGAAGTATAGTTTGGTAAATAAAAATCAACAAAGTATCATTAAATGAAGCGTAAATTAAATTGAAAGCAGGAAAACAGAGTTCCGGCGTCGCGACGGCGATGCGTCGGCGATGCGTCGGCGATGCACCGGAATCTTGAGCGTTCGGGAGGATCGTCGTGCAGTGTCCATGGCCTCGAAGGCTCTCCTTGGACAAAGACGACGTGGTCAATCTCTAGATAAAGTAGGAAAACAGAGTTCCGGCGTCGCGACGGCGACGCGTCGGCGATGCACCGGAATCCTGAGCGTTCGGGAGGGTCGTCGTGCAGTGTCCACGGCCTCAAAGGCTCTCCTTGGACAAAGACGACGTGGGCAATCTCTAGATAAAGCAGGAAAATAGAGTTCCGGCGTCGCGACGGCGACGCGTCGGCGATGCACCGGAATCCTGAGCGTTCGGGAGGGTCGTCGTGCAGTGTCCACGGCCTCGAAGGCTCTCCTTGGACAACGACGACGTGGGCAATCTCTAGATAAAGCAGGAAAACAGAGTTCCGGCGTCGCGACGGCGACGCGTCGGCGATGCACCGGAATCCTGAGCGTTCGGGAGGGTCGTCGTGCAGTGTCCACGGCCTCGAAGGCTCTCCTTGGACAAAGACGACGTGGGCAATCTCTAGATAAAGCAGGAAAGCAGAGTTCCGGCGTCGCGACGGCGACGCGTCGGCGATGCACCGGAATCCTGAGCGTTCGGGAGGGTCGTCGTGCAGTGTCCACGGCCTCGAAGGCTCTCCTTGGACAAAGACGACGTGGGCAATCTCTAGATAAAGCAGGAAAACAGAGTTCCCGTGTCGCGACGGCGACGCGTCGGCGATGCACCGGAATCCTGAGCGTTCGGGAGGGTCGTCGTGCAGTGTCCACGGCCTCGAAGGCTCTCCTTGGACAAAGACGACGTGAGCAATCTCTAGATCTTCTCGTGAAGTCTAGAGACCAATGAAGTGGGTCGTCGAATCGTCTCCGGCGGCTGTCACCCGGCGGAGCGGAAAAACGGCGACTTTGCGGCTCTTCGGCGGCTGTCACCTGACGGAGAGGAGCTGGATGGAGGTGAGGCGCATGTTAGGGAGCTTCATCCTCAGGTCCGCGCAGCAAGAGGAGGCTCTTCATCGCATCTGGTACGCTCTCAGGAGGTGGCGACTGGTCTCCCGGCGGATCGTCCTCTTCCCGACGGCGGCTTGTTCGTCGATCAATCGGAGATGATTTACTCGATGGATTGCGATCCTTTTATCGCGAATCGTTCAGAAATTTTAGTAGCAATGCTCCGCGAATCGCGTTGACGAGATTTTCGCCGATGATCCAGCGATTCCGGTTGCTTAATCCTTCACTGGCGATCTGCAGGAAAGTCGCGATAATCAGTTAAAAATATATGAATTTTGACTCTAGGAGGATTCGAACCCGCGGCGGTCGCCGGCCCCTGAACAAGGTGTGACGCGGGTTTAGTCCCACATCGGTTGTGCGCGGATTATTTGGGCGAATATATAGTAAAGTTAGCTTTGTAGGCAAAATCCTCTCGCGTGTACGACCACTCCTTGCCCCACAGCCGGCTGACCACCGGTGACGTGGAAGGGGAGTGGCGCACACGTGCCCCTATCGATCCAAGCAAGCCGCTCGAGCCCCTGCTCGCGGCTACTCCCCGACTGCGCTTCCGACCTGCTTGCGGGCCCGGCTGGCCGGCGGGTCTCCCCATTTTGCAATATTTTTATTTTTATTTCTTGTTCTTCGTTTATCTCAAAACTAAGACTGTAAAAATCGTATAAAATCACATAATTACCCAAAAATTCACGTTAATCAACTGAAAACCACTTTTCATGCTTTAACACAAATATAAGTCTATTTATCATGAGTTAAGGCTAAAACTATATTATTTACTAATTATTAACTCATGATAATGAAGACTTATCAGCACGCCACATGACCAAGTAGATATGACCTAGCAGCTCATGATGTACTATGATATTATGAACTTAAGTCTTGCACATATCATCATCAAGGATATAAAGATAATAATTGATTATTTTTTGATAAAATAGATATTTATTGATTATCTTTAAAATTTCAACGATAGTTGTAGATACGATAATCCATTCTTCCCTCCTTTGCATGATTGACATTTCTAGTGATCAGAAAGCTTGTTCCTTCCTCCCTTGACTACAAGCAAGGCCTATGGCAAGTGGCCAGCTTTCCCTTCTCCCCCTTGATGATAGTGACAGCGTGGTCAACTCTTTTTTTGGTGGATCTCTCAAACAAGCGGCACAGTACTTTCGGGTGATACTTCTGCGACTTCTGGCGTGGTGTGGTATGACAAAAAAACCCAAGCCACCACACTGGTGTCTCCAGTTGCTCAGGAGGCAGACTAAACTTGGGCAATTATTTTTCTTACTTTCAGTATTTACTTACTTACTTTTGTCATTTATTTAAATTTTACAATAAATTATTTTCGTTTCATGCACGTTTTGATTGAAATGAGTAGAACTAATTCAAAACTTGATGAATGATATTTGTTCTTCTTTTGAATCCTCTAAAACGCATCTAAGATCAAGCTAAGACCATTTCTAACTTATTTTAAATTGATTTTCATAGTCGAATCTCGACATATTCACATTCTTAGGGCTCCACAAATAATAAGTATTTTTTAAATTTTGAATGTGAAATCACCAAGATTAAAGGCTGATTAATGAGCAAAATAAGTTGGAGACATTCACGACTGACCTCATGTCATGTGTGTGAATCTTCGAGCACACATTCATCTGAGAAAATAAGTTGACTGTAGTTCTTTATTTCTTCATTTTCATCTTATTTCTCTCTTCCCTCTCTCATGTGACCTCTCTTCTCTCTTCATCTCTTGCGAGATCTCTCCCTTTTTCTCCCTCTTTCTCAATCAATCTCCTTCTCTTTCTCTCTCTTAATTGATCTCTCTCTTTCTCTCTTGTGAGACTTTTCTCTCTCTCCATCTCACGTGAGATTTCTCTCCTCCTCTCTCTTTCTCTCCCTTTTGCGAGAGATCTCATCCCTTCTCTCTCTTGTGAGAGCTCTCTCCTCCTTTCTCGTTCTCTCCCTTTTGCGAGAGATCTCATCCTTTGTATCTCTCATGAGAGCTCTCTCTCCTCCTCTCTCTTTCTCTCCTTTTCGCGAGAGATCTTATCCATTATCTCTCTCTCATGAGAGCTCTCTCTTCTCTCACTTATCTCTATCTCTTTTCTTCCTTCTTTTTATCTACTTTACTTCCTCTATTCTTCTCACCTCACCCCTTCTATTTTATTATTTCTATTAAATATTAATAAAAATACAAAAATTACTTTGTATATAAATTAAATTAAATTTCATGATGGATTAATTAATCTTCTTGTGTTCAACCTGAGACTTACTCCTATACTAATATTTTATAAGTCTTAGTTATAAATGTTATTAGATAGTATGTATTTAAACATAATGACAAGTGCACACCAGTGGACCCTAATATGCCCTCCTAAACAAGCCAAACATTTTGGGACTTAACAGTCACATGTTGCTAGATTGTGCATAAAATTTCTCTTCACTTTAACATCCAATGAATGTTTTCAGTACTATATGAATATTAAATCTTGGAACTTCATAATTTGAGTGATATTACCTTAATTCAATCCATGCTTGTATATAATTCATAATAGATTAGAACACATTAGTTATAATATGATACTTAATCTATATTTCGAAATAACTTTCAAATGAATGATTTCATCATCAAGTTGATGAAGTTAACTTCATAATTTTATTCTATGTGAAGATAACAAAATTATCCTTCCACATCATCAAAATAATTTAAGCACTTAAACCCAATAGAAAGTTTCAATAGATACATACTTTCTAGAGGTGTAAATATATAATGGCGAGCTAATTACTTGCCATCAAATTAAATCCTAATAGTCTTGAACTAATTACTTTTGGAAGAGTTTTAAAAAGTGTTACCTAGTCTCTTGAGATTTTTGATAATTTTTTTAAAAACAAGTTTTATATCATTACAATTTGTGAACTCCATTTCATGAATTTATTCAATGTTTTGTAATATTTGAAATCTAAAACCTATATCTCAACACTAAATAAGATATTGTTGGGTTTAGCTATGCTCAGTATGGTCTTTACAAATTAATTAGTATAAGATAAACATTTTAAAGCATTAGACAGCTTGGTCCTCTTTAGCCATGCTCAGCTTGGTAAATATCCCTATAGATTTCATTTCATATTAGACAAACACCATTGTTTATCATGGTTTGGTGCTCCTTGCATGATGATTTCTAACAAAAGCATTGTCTCTATATTAATATCAAGTTAAAGTAACACCAAACCAATAAAATGTTAGCTTGCATCTACCTTTAGATTGGCTACTATTATCTAACAAAAATATACAAAATATTTAAATTTTCAATTATCTTGGTATATGACTTGAGTTCATACTCAATGCTAGTGGTAGCATTTTACACAATGAGCCCTTTAAAATCAAATAAGAACAAAATTGAAACTTATCACATTAATTTGAGCTTTAACAAGAGCAGAGTTAGGTCAAATAAGAAGAAATCTTGAAATCTCGATGGAACAATAAAATGCCATATCTCCTAGAGAAAAAAAAGTTTGGAGTATTTTTAATGAGTCAAATATTTATTAAAGCATATAATAGTTGTAAAATGGTCAATCTAACTTGTTATAATAGTAGATGCAATGGTTTGTCATTGCTTGATGGTGTTGCTTGGTGAATCAACTCTTTTTTCTTTGATAAAAATATATGAGTTCCTATACTTTTAATTGCCAACCCCAATGAGACTTTATCAAAAGTTAGTGCAACGATATTTTTTGGATTAAAACATTACCATCTTCTCTTTATGCCTACTTTATCTAAGATCAAAGCTTGAATAACTATAAAAATGAACTTTTTTCAAACCTAGTACTAAGACATCTAGTTGGTTAATTGTTCTGTCTACTGTATTATTTTGGTTACATTCTTCCCCTAAGTTAAAGGCTCATGTGAATATAGAAATCCTTAAACATCATTTGGTAGTAATTAGCCAGGCATAATGCCTTTAATTTGGTCCTCATTTTTTATGACATTGTTTAAGGATAATCTTAATTGATTTAAGGTTAAGAATTATGAGAGGATATGATTGCTCCAAAATGTCATAATTGAAAAGTGTCAAAAATAAAATTTATAATGTTCATATGTCTTCCTAATGATACTAATGAGTATAGTTTAAGGAGTATTAGATTCAAACCGCAAAGAATTGTCTAAATTAAGGAGAGATGTAACTTCTAATTATGATTGAATTTTTTATGAAGAATAAGATGAGGAGATATAAGAGAGTTGACTTACACACACTAAGGAGAATAAATGAATTGTGATTTTTTTTTGATGATTTTTTAATCACCAAGAGAAGAAAATTATGTGAGAAATAAATGATGAAATGTGAGATGATTGTGAATTCTTTAACCCTAATGTGCATAAATAAAAACTCTAATTTTCCTAGATCTTTCTATATCACCTAGGGGATCAATAAAAAGATTTTAAAAAACTAATATATTCCTAAACTACTTCCTAACCTCTCCTTATACTTCTTTACTTTAATGAATGCTCAACTTTGATGAATCATAAGAGCAAAATAACACGGAAAGAAAATATGATCAAAAGATGGATCTAAAAATATCATAAATCTGTCCTACCTTTCTTATTCTTAGAAATATGATCAATCTTTGATAAATCAAGAGATCCACATCAAAAGAAGCAAGAGAGGGGTATAAAGGTTGGATTCTATCTTAGGATCGACCTAGTGCCACTCTAGGGATCAAAGAATTGAATACCTGTCTACTCTTGAACCGAATCAACTCTTTCTCATCAAGATGGTCTCAAGAAGAAGATAATATAATAAAAAAAACTCATTCATTCAAAATAAAATATAATACATAATGAAAGAAAAAATATGAAATATGTCTTTTGTATGCCATTTGGAGTATTCAAATGAATCCCTCCTTGGGGTTCCTAGATTGGCTCAATGAGTGAAGTTTGTGGAGATCTCCTCTTCTCCCTCTTGGGTAACCCCTCTCCTATGAACATAATGCCCTTCTCTCTCCTCTAGGTGGCTTTTATTCTCCCCTTGCTTGTGCCCATTCTCAACCCTTGAATCATGGGGAATAGTGCACAGCCTTTGGATTATATTTCTTTCTCCAAGGGCAGCCCAAGGAAGGTGGGTGGTGCCTAGGGTATCCTCTTAGCTTCCTTCACCTTAGGACCTATCTCAGCCCTTGTATTGAGCTGATTGAGGGGCTGAGATAGTCTCAAAGGTTGTCTAATGAGGGAGAGGGGCTTGACTGATGAGAAGGTGCCACATACCCCTCCCTCTAATTAAGGAAGAAATAAATTGCCCTCTCTCCTTCTTATTGGGCCTCCTCCTTAATTAATGTGGGCTGTTCAGCTGGCCTATGGGCCTGATATTACCTGAAACATAATACTAAAATAAAACCTATTACCCCTTAAATGAATAAATATAATAAATTAGACATAAGAGGAAAGTCAACATGGTAAATCTAGACTCATTTATACATGAGTTGACTTAGGGTTTAATTGATACATAATAAATCATAAAAATCATATGTATATGTTTTATAATTTAAATATTTACGAATCAAAGCACTGATATTAATTTGGATTTAATCGATTTTTTTGGGAAAATAAAAAACCTTTAGAATATTCATTTAAACTTGAAATAAATCTTAGAATACTAAAAAAGCTCCAAAAAGTCTCTAAAAAACAGGAAATATACTTTGATCATATTAAATCATCATAAAATATTTAAATAATAATAATATACATATTTTTTTTTGTAATTGTTATTCAAGTAAAACATATAAATAAATAAATAGACATGCTATAGAAAATATGAAAAAATTATAAATTATACATGTATTTAGAATATTGATCATAAATTATGATTCACCTATTTTATGTATCTGTCATTTTGTATCAAGTTAAATACTATTTGTCTAAATTATGCCATAGTTAACATGTAGAATTTGCATGTTATCATGTATAAAACTCTAAACTTGGCATTGTAAGAGAGGTATCATCCTTTCCTCAGATAATCATCATTAGGGTCTATAACCTAAAGTGGAAAACCAAGTCACTTCAATTACATTATTTGAGATGATCTATTGGGTGTTTTTCACCATTATTTGTTTCAAATTTTTGGAATTCGTGCTTTAGTTTCTTTTACTAGACTCTACCTTAGTTTTCTCTGCTATCCCTTTTTTTTGAATGAAAAGCTGCACCATTGCAGCAAAAGAAGAGTGGAGATAAACTTGTTTTTAATGCTCGAGAGTACTTGACAGTTCTGAGAGAACGTTTGGCAAAGATGCCCTTCACCATCCCATTTCCTTCACAATTCTTGGAACCACATTGACGCTAATACCCTGCATCCCTTTTCATGGCTTAAAACTGTTCCAACTGATGAATACGCATATCATCAAACTCGGCATAGATCTTCTTTAGAGGAAGCATCGGCTGGCTTAAA